GCCTCCCACGTAATAAACGGCTGCCCTGAGGGCAAGTGTGCCGGGATGCCTGGTTCTGTGGGACAGGAGGGGGGACTGCTGGGGAGAGGAGGAGGAGCCAGGAGCCCAGCCACCTGGGCTGTGTGGGGGGCCGGTGGGGGAGGGGGGGTTAGCTAGTGACATCTTGCAAAAATTGGTGCAACAAATAGTGAAAAAATTGGGAGAAAAAAGGCAAAATTGGGCAAAAAAAAATAAATCCCAGGATGAAGCCAGGAGCCCCCAAAATGTCTGTGAGAAGCAGCAGGAAAATTTCCCTGTGTCAAGCTCCCCATTTTGGGCTGAAATTCACAAAATTGGGGAAAAAATCCTAAATGTTATTGTGTCTTGCAAAAATTGGTGCAACAAATAGTGAAAAAATTGGGAGAAAAAAGGCAAAATTGGGCAAAAAAAAATAAATCCCAGGATGAAGCCAGGAGCCCCCAAAATGTCTGTGAGAAGCAGCAGGAAAATTTCCCTGTGTCAAGCTCCCCATTTTGGGCTGAAATTCACAAAATTGGGGAAAAAATCCTAAATGTTATTGTGGGAAGGCTGGAAATTGAAGGGAGGAGGGGCAGAGAGAGGAGATGAGGACTCTGCTGGGGGGAAATGGAACAAAAATGGGGGGGAGGCCATTGTTGATCAAAACAATGAAGCCAGATATGCATATTTTTGGCCAAAAAATAAGTAACCCCTCCACCCCACATTTTTGTTCTAAATAGTCTTTTATTTCACTCAATTATGTGTGGTTTTTTAACCAAAAATTGCATGGTTTTGGTTAAAAGATCAGGCCATAGACCAAAAATGTGTGTTTTTTGGCCCCAAGTGCACATTTAATGTTAAAAAAAATAAGGCCAAAACAGCACAATTTTGGATAAAAGGACAAAAAAAAAAAATCACATTATATCTTTGGTCAAAAACAAGGCCAAAACCTGCACATTTGTGATCAAAAAGTAAAGCCAAAAAATGAGCATTTGTGGTCTTAATATCCTTATTTTTAGATCAAAATGAGTGTTTTTGGCCAAAAAATGCAGTTTTGTTAAAAAAAAAAAAAAGCCAAAATGGTACAATTTTGGTAATAAGGCCAGAAAAGCATTTTTTGGGTCAAAAATAAGGACAAAAAATTGATTTTTAGTAAAAGATGAGTAAGGTAAAAATGCACATTTGTGATAAAAAAATAAGGGCAAAAACGCAAACTTTTAGTGAAAAAGGCCAAAAATACACATTTTGATTCAAAACAATTATGTGGGGGGTTTTGAGGGGGGCGAGAAAAGAGCAAGATTGGTTAAAACACCCTCAGGAAAACAGCTCATAGCCAGATCCCTGGAAATAAAATGGAAGAAGGAAATTCGGTTGAAAAGAGCCAAATTCAGTTAAAACAGAAAAGGCCAAAGAGCAAAACCAAGTAGAAAATGAACATTTTTGGTTTAATTGAAATACAGCGAGTTGAAGCGTTACAAAAAAAAAGCTAAGAGAAAATGGGTTTAAATCCAGGAATTTCCCCAAAAAGGGTTGAAAATGCCCTAAAATTATTGGGGGGGGGCTGATGAAGCCTCCTCTTTTGCCCCCCCCTCCAGCCCCATGACAGGGTGTGCTATTACCCCACCTGCTGCCCCGAGTGGCTGTGGCAGGGTATTACAGCCCCCAACCTGCCCCCAGTGGCCATGGCAGGGTATTACAGCCCCTCTCTTGCCCCCTGGTGGCTGTGGTGGGTATTTTGCGGCTGCCGACCTGCCCCCTGATGGCCGTGGTGGGTATTACAGCCCCCGACCTGCCTCCTGCCAGCCATGGCAGGGTACTATGGCCCCAACCTGCTCCCTGCTACTACAGCCCCTGATCTGCCCCCCAGTGGCTGTGGTGGGGTACTACATCCCCTGACCTGCCCGCTGGTGGCTGTGGCGAGTATTACAGCCCCTGACCTGCCCCCCAGTGGCTGTGGCAGGTCCCGCTCCGGGCTTAGGCGCTGAGGTCCACGAGGACGTGGCGGTAAATCTGGGAGTTGCCTGTGAAGCTGGAGATGAGGACGAAGTGATGGGGGCCGACGGGCACGGGTGCCAGGGCACGGGGTGCAGGTGGCGCCAGCTCCTGGCCAGGCACGAACTGCCCAGCACTCGGGTCGAAGCGGTACAGGCGGCTGTAGGCCACATCGCTGCCCAGCAGGGCGTAGAGGCGCCCGCCCAGCACCAGTGGCTGGAAGAGTAGCGACCCTCGTGCCGGAACGGCCTGGACCTCACGGAACAGCGACCCCTCCCAGCGCAGCACCTGGCAGGCACACAGCGTGCATGGTGCTGGGGGCGGGGCTAGCGATAAGGAACACGGGCTGGGGGCCAGGGGGGGGA